TCATATGCAAATGCAGCTCCATGCAACCGCATTGCCATCCCCAAGACGCTCCTTTACAGAAATTCTTCTGTGTCCACTGTGCTTTTGTTTTGCCAGGAGGAGAGTGTTGAACATTTTCAACTCTTATTTAGTTTTGTCTACCAAGGGGAAGAAAGCATGGTATCCTGCCTGTTTAATTCTGCCAGCCTGTGCCATTGTTCTGGTAGACAAGATGATCTTCAGTGAATGCCAATTAACTGCCAGCTACCAAGTGTCATATGATTAATTTCATTCTTCTCTACCATAATGCAGCATCTTTCCATAATGAAAAATATACTCCACCAATAAAACATGCAAGCCTTTTGCTGTCTAGACTACAGATACCCTACTCCATTTTGCATGTGAAGCCATTCAGATTAATGACACTTTAAAATGTCATTTTCACCCAGAACAATTCCCACCTTCAATTTTTTCCTCTCCTGTAACTTTCAGAAGCTCTAAGTGGCACTTTTCAAATGGTTTGCCAGTCTCATCTAAAGTTTTACACAGCACTAATATTCTCAGATCCTGTAACTGAGCCACTTGAGGGTAATGCTGAAAACTTTCCCGTTGCCTAGTGGTGCCTAGAAACTGATTTTGTATTTTCCCTGCTGAGACATAGCCAACTTCAGAGCTAATCCTCCAGCTGTCGTGTGGGCGAATGGGGTCACATGTTCTCCCAGAATGCCGCTGGGCTAATCTGGGCAAGCATGGTCTGCCCAGCTGTCTTTGAGAAACTTGAAGTTCTAGGAGTAACAGAAAAAGTTTGTCAGACGAATGAGTGGTGGTGACCCCAGAGAGTCATGGCAGCAGCAGAGATGCCACCACTACGGCACCCATTGTGAGACAGGGTGCCAGGACGTTCTCATGACCTCACAGAGATGGAATCTCTAAGGGTCAAGAATGATAAGACCTTTATTCTCCCAGCCTGATTTTTTTTTTTTAAAGTCCTAATCAGACAACTCTTTAAATAGGAGTCATGCTGCCAACCTGGACCTGTTTATGGATCCAATTTCAAAATGTGCGATTTGTAACTCCCCCAAACAAGAATATGAGTCACTATGTAGAGATTGGGAACAGCGACATCAAAGGTGAGCAGTGATGTCCAAGTCTCCTTCACTCCATGTTTGAAACCCAGGGAGGCAATATACAGTACCTAACTAAACAAAACAGATATTTCCTATATCTAAACAAAATCAGTTTTGCTACTGACTCTGAGTGGTGCTGATTTAAAACTTTCTGTGTCTCAAGTGTCTCATCTTTAAAGAGGTCGAAGTCTTTTCACTCTCAGTGAAAGTCTGGGACATAAGGGTAGAACCTGGACAGGAGAACCTCCACAGACTGCATATCTGCCTTGTAATCAGTGACCCCATCTCCACATCTCTGCAGTCTCTTAGCTTGAATCCCCTGCCTCCGCCCTAGTCCCAGTCTCACTGCCTCAGTTCAGCCCTTATTTATCTATTCTCTGAGCTCGTGCAATGGTTCCTGTGTGGTCTCTGTGTCTCCAACCCAGTAATTCTCAACCAGGGAGCAATTTTGTTCCCCAGGAGACAGCTGGAAATACGTGGAGACATTTTTGGTTGTAAGACTGATAGGGTACTACTGGCATTTACTGGATAAAAGTCAGGGGTGTTGCTAAACACTGTACAATGCATGAGCCAGCCCCCAACGAAGAATTATAAAGCTCAAAAAGTCGATAATGCTTAGGTCGAAAAACTGCTTCAGCCAAACCAACATCTCATCTGCCCTTTACACAGCACAAATGATCAGGTCATTTCTGTGCTTGAAATCCTCCAGTGCCTCCCAATTGCCATCAGGTTAAAGTCTAAACTCTCCAGTAAGTCACAAGACACCATCATGATCTGGCTCTTTCCTAATTTTCTGCTTCACCTTTCACTGTTCCACTGACTCTTCCTCCCCAAAGCCACACAAGGAACCAATGCAGGTGGACCAGCCCACCCACAGCTCTTTCTACCTGTAAGTCTCATCCATTCATTCCTTTGCTCACCATTTTTATGTAAGATACTCTAGTGAGACTAAAAGAGAACAGACGTTCTCCAGGCAGCTTGAGGTACTGATGTCTCATGAGACATGCAGAAAAGTGAGCACGCAATTCAATTAGCAAAGGCAGAACCTCTGTGATCCCACTGCAGTCTCCCCAACATGCTGTGAGCCTCCAGGGAAGAGAGTGTCTTCACCTTTGTAGGCCACAGCAACTTGCACACACTAAGTATGGTCTACCAGTTGTATACCTTGTCTTTGTCATGTTTGTTATAAAGAATGAATGAATTCCCAGCCTCTTTCAACTCTGCTCTTGATCAGACAAAAAAAAGTACTAAAATATCAAAACCTAAGGATAAAACAAAATTTGTCACACTGTATACGTCCAGAAACAGAGCCTATCCACAAAAGTGGAAACATCATTGTTTAAAGGTATACTATCCTCTGCCTCTCTTCTCTTTATGTATCAGAGAAATATAAATCTATAAAATAAGTACTCATCTCTATGGAATGTCTAAATCCCACTGTCTGACATCCGAAGATAAGATACTCAGAGCAGAATCTGACTCTCAGACAGTAACCAACAGATAGATAATGGTGTCAAGAACACAGAGCCAGGTTCACTGTGGGAATCAGAACTTGAAATTCCATGGTGCCTAAGATGACTTTGCTCTCTTCTCTAGATTTGGAAATTCATTCTCTCAACTGGACATTTAACAATGCTATCGTTTGTACTTCTCTTCCTTTTAAGTTGATTCTAGATCCTGGAAGTTGTTATGATTTACCTGAGCTTCAAAACCCACAAAGATATCCCATAAGCCTGTGGCATAAGGAGATGGATTTTTTAGAAAAAGAAATAGTTTTATTAGAAATTTATAAAGCTATTTTGGACTTTTTAAGAGAAAGACCTATCAGTTTAACTTTAGAGCTGATGAAAGAATGTAAGATTCTTCTATAAAATCACTGGAAACAATGAAAAAGTGGCTTATGGATTCTATAGGTCATGAAAATTTTCATTTTTATTGCTGTTAATTATAAGGTATATATCTTTTTTTCACATAGTTGTCATGTTAAATCTTGTCCAAGCTCCCCTTCAAACCTGGGGGGCACCTGGAGCAACAGTGACCTGGCTTCCAGACTTCCCATGGTAACTGTTCAATCTGTTTGGTCTTCCAACTTTTAGTCCTATCTGGGTTTCACAGACAAGGCACAGTCACAAGCTTGGATGGTTCTTTCTCCCGTCCTCTTTTCTAGGCAACCTCAGGATAATCGCGATCTCCAGAAAAAGTGATTTCCACTCAAACCAATATTCTAGGCATTTTGGAGAAAGCCCAGAAACTATTAATGATCAGAACTGAAAGCTGCTTTATTTCACTTGAAAAGCATACAAAAACAGACAAGGTGCTGAAAAATGTAGACAAGGAACAGAGACCCAAGACCCTAAAATTAATTTAGCATAGAGCTTACAGAGTCAACTGTTAAGGCAGAGTAAAGGCCATTACTTATAACATGTCTGTTCTTAATAGCATCATTTTGTGGCCCAGCTGAGGATAAAGGTGTCTTCTGAGGCCCTCTCCTCTGGATTTTGCACGCTTTCCCTCCGCAAATGGTATTTTTGGCATCCAGGTGCCCAGTTCTCCTTCTAACCATATAAACTTTTTTAAAGGAAAATATTTACTAAAATTCTCTCAATGTGAATTAGTTGCTACCACTCCCCCAAGGATATTTGCGTCCAAGTCACATTCTTATTATGGCCTGAAAAGTTTTCTTTAATGCAAGAAATTCTTGACTTGAAGTTGCAGGTGAAAGTGATCTTTTTGGGACAGAGTGACCTGTCCCCTTGAAACTGCCCAGTATCTGGATTTTAAATAATGAAACCAAAATCACATAAAGAAAAAACATGTTATGGTTGTGTTCAGGGTTCCAATAACTATTTGGGGTGAATTTTTTTTAATTTATATAATACGGTACCTAGGACAGAGCCTGATACATAGTATTTGTTTTGTTTAAAATGAAATCCTACCATTTGCAACAACATGGATGGACCTAGAGGTTATTATGCTGAGTGAAATAAGTCAGCCAGAGAAAAATAAATACCATACGATTTCACTTATATGTGGAATCTAAGAAACAAAAAGAACAAACTAATCAAAAACAGACTCACAAATACAGAAGAATTGTTTTTAATTTACTTTGAAATTAATAAGAGCGCGAGATTTGCCACACTGTCTATCTGCAGCAACCAAGTGTGATGAGCTTATTTCCAAGTAAGTAAGTCAAGTCCTTAAAAGCACACAAAAAAAGGAAGCTTAGAAGCACGTATATTATAGTTTTTAAAAATATAACAACTTGTGGGTTGAAGTAGACTTCATATGTTTTAGCTTAGATCAAAACTGTCAGACAAGGACTTATGGAAAAGGAAACAAGAGGCTGGAGAAATACTGAGACAGAAAGGGGATGACCAGCATAGACATACTTGTGAAGGATTCTTTATAACCACTAATTTCATTGTGGTTATAGTCAAAAACATCACCATCCAATAGAACTTTCTGCAATGATGGAAATGTTCATCTGAGCTGTCTAAGATGGAAGCCATCAGCCACATGTGACTATCAAGCATTAGAAATTTGGCTGATGTGGCTGAGAAACTGAATTCTTAATTTTAACTAATTTAAACTTAGTTTTAAATAGCCATATATAGCTAATGGCTACCCTACTGGACAGTGAGAGTCTAACACCATTACTGCTTTAACATGTAATTTTAGGAACACTTTGTACCAGTGAACTCTTTCCAGGAGAAACTGATAGAATGCTCAATATAATGCCGTCTTCCAGTGAAAATAAGCTTATTTACCAAAACCACAGTTTATGGCTCACTCCAACCTCCATCTCAACCATTACCAACCTACCCAGGATTTGTGCCTCGCTCATTCCTTCAGGGCAAGCCTCCAGCAGTGGCCTCTGGAAGGCAGTGTACTTACCCTCACCCAGAGGAAGGTCCTCTTCCTGCTCATTGGGGGAAGGCAGCAGGGGTTGCAGGGGTTCCATGTTAATGATGAGCTGTTTGTTCAAGGAGTGGGAACTGCGGCTCTGGGTAATGTTGGCTCTGAAAACAGACACAAGCCAGATAGAGTCAGTTTCTATTAGGAATATCGCAGTAGGCTATCCAGGCTGGGAACAGCCTCTAGACTCCCATGGTGGGTTAGGCCAGTGGTAAATATGGCATAACACTCAAGACACATAGCCCTTTTTATCTTTAAGGTCCTGAAAAAAATGTCTGTGTATCCTAATGCAATACAGTGAAAGAACATGTGTTTTCCCATATGTCATCAGATTTGGGCATGCACGTGACAACAGACATTTGAAAAAGACATGGGAGGTGTGGGTATCACTGAACTAGACAAACAGAAAAGTAAAAGAAGGGCATGGCTCAAAGTAATTTAACCAAGACTCAAAAACAAACAAACAAACAAACAAAACCTCTATCAGACAGATGACACAGATATTCTATAGCTATAAGCTATCTTTGTGTCACTGGATGTCCAAAGTTTAATATCAATGTTTAATACCCCCATTCCAATTCACACCCCACTCACCAACCAGCCACAGAACCCAGTTCGGCTTTCTTCTTTTAAAAGGAGCATGCGCATGTGTCAGTGGCTGTGACAAACAGCAGATGTCCAGGAAACCATGCGGGTGTCTTATCAAGACTATTGGCTAACAGCTGGGAAGCCCATATACAGGGCCTGCTGCACTGGAGCAGCTGCTTACCCTGATGACAAGGAGTGGGTGCCTCTGATTGGTGTCTAAGCACCCTGCTCCCCGCCCCAGGTTTCCTGTCAAAATCAAAACCAACTGATCCTTCAAAGATGGAGTCAAATGTCTCCTTCCCCTCTTGGATTGGCCTCATGGCACTCACGAACACATACTCTCTCATTCTCTGTTCACATGACTCTCTCTTCTTTTGCAGCTCACTGCATTTGTCACCTCTGTCTCTCTGTAATTATGGTTGTACTAATCATAATCAGCCCCAACTTAATAAGCACCTTAAGGGCTTGTCTGCTTTACGGCTCCTCGTGCAGCACCCTGAGGAATTTTCAGGTTTGAAACTGAATGTAATCCTGTCTTGACATAATTGCCATGGGTGCCATGTTTCTCCTCTCTCCCAATCCGCCCATCAGCTGACTATGCTAAAATAACTGGCCCACTCTGCAGTCCACACATGTGTGTACACCTGGCATAAAGCAGTTTCCAAATGAAACTGTCATTAAGAACTCTAGTGAGAAAGAAAGGTTTCCTTTAGGAACTACAAGTATATTCTAAGATTGGCTCCAAAAACTGATGGCATAAAACACAGTGACTAAAATGAGGCTCACAGAGTGCCTTCACCACTCCTTGGAATGAAAGGAGATGCCACTGGCCTGTTATCAGAAGCTCTATCGGGACAGACTGTCAGCTTCTATGGCTTGGATGAGAGACAATTATAATAAAATCATGACTTCACATTTGTATGGCCCCTTATAATTTTTAAACCACTTTATTTTAGTCCTCAACAAAACCTAGAAGTTGGACAAAGTAAATTACAAATTTTGTTTTATAAATGAATAAAAAAACTGATGATCTGAAAAGTTTAGTGACTTATCCAAGACTACAAAGCTGGTAAACAACACAGCCAAGATTAGAACCCATTCGTGACTTCTAAACAGGTGCTCATTTCAGGTACAGATATTACCTCTGGGTGTCCCCTGGTGGTGGCTGCTATGCTCAGGTAGCCCTGGGCTCACCAGGCCTCTCGGATGGGCAGGTGATTCTCACCAAGTAGCCAGCCCAGAGGGCCATACATGGGGTTCTTGTCATCAGCAAAGACCAGTGAACTAACATGAGAGTTTGTGTCTTTTCTTTTTTTTAAAAAAAGGAAAAATCCCAAGACAGTGATCTCAGTCTCTCTGTGTCTCTCTCTCTCTAGATAGACCCATCTCAACATAAGAAGTAGTCCAGGAACTTGTGATTCTTTGGAAAGTAGAATCTCAGGTGTGAGAATAGATAGCTAATTGAAGCCTTATCATCACCATTCTAGATTAACGGTCGGTCATCTCCAAACACCACCAGAGAAAGAGAGCTCATTACTATACTCTCACTTTTGAAAGCCATATCGAAGAATTCAAAATAATTCAAAAATAATTGTTCAAGAAAAAAGTTTCCTACCATGCAACTGGCTACTAGGCAGGAAACAAGAAATTGCTACTGGAAGTGTCTCACATTGCCATGGCTCTGATCACAGTGCTGCCTCTTGAGAGGTCGAGGGCCCCAGAGCAGCACCTTGGACAGATCTCAGGTCTCAGAAAATCACAGAGGTGCTGTTGTCACCCCACACTCTTAGTTCAGGCATTCATTCAACAAATATGTACTGATCTACTATTTGCCCAGCACCTGGGTTAGGTGTTAGGGGACATGGAGATGACCAAGACAGGCACAAGCCTTGTTTTCCCAGAACTTGCTTTGTGTCGTTACTTTAAACTAATTCTTCCCCATATTGTTAGAGATTTGGGAGATGGTGGTAAAGAATGGAGGACCAGAGAAGCATCCTGAGGATATGAACTCAATCAGCTTTCATATACCTGTCAAAGGGGGTAGTGGAAGGAAAAGAAAGAGCATGCAAAGCATTGTCTCAAGGGGCCTATGGGTCCTTGTATACAGTAATATCCTGAGGAGACTTTAGAATATTCCAGAAGGGGGAAACTATAAACTG